CTTATACCTAATTTATAGATAACTATTGATGGCATAAATAATATGAAATAATATTGTTTGTTTTTAAAAACGAATTACCTAATGTTTATTTTAAAAAGAACCATAAAAAATTATTTTCCGATATAGGTATATAAGTATAATTATTGAATTTTAGTATTTATTTTATAAATATAAAATATGTTTAAGTATTTTTTTTTTTTTTACTAATATTACGTCGGTATAACCATTATAAATTGTTATATAATAAATAAATAACTATAGTAGGTTATAGAACCTTTACTCAAAGGTAGCTACAATACTAATATGGTTATATTTAGACACGTCTTAGTACTTAGGTACATATTATACATGTTACTGCAAATGTCCTCAGTCACCGGCGAATGTCAAAAACAGAACCTGAATTGGGAATTAATGTTGAAAAATAACAAAATGTGGACAATAATTTGTGAAAGTCGACATTTACATTACTTTTGGGACAGTAAAAATGCTCCGATTTTCAACTTCAGTATCTTGTTCGATGGGAAAGTGAATCTAGCTAGTTAGTGCATTGGTCAGGTTAAAAGTAAAAATTTGAATTTTAAAGCAAATCAGTTTTAGACAAAATCGACTTTGATGTTGGTGTAAATCTGAGACAAGTTACCTTAGATAAATGCACTTTTATATTATCATTTTCCATACACCATTACATTTTCAAAATATTTTGAATTGTTTTGAGCTGTTTACGGGTATTTTAAGTTTCCAATGTGCTTAGTTTTTTTTTATACAAATGTCAATACAATTGTATTCGTTTAATCAAAAAGCTTGAAAATGTAATACAACATACAAGGATCCGGCAGATATATTGTAACAATATCAGTTTAAAAATGTTAAAAATACATATGCACAGTTTTATTTATGAACAAAGTTCGAATATTGACAAAATGTATCAAATTTTAAATTAAAAAAAAGCATTTAAATAGATGCCACTCTGCTGCAGTACAGTAGGTTACATCGTTACATGCGTGTGATGTGTGAAGTGGGTCAATGTATAATGTCCGCCATAATGGATATTGGATTGTATTAGACTTGAATTCAATGATATAATATCATTGTATAGGAAAAACGATTTTGAGCGGAGATGGTTTGTCAGTCTGCAGTCAGGATATTTTATATTATTATTATTTATTATAGCCTGTAAGCTGAATTAATATTATTATTTTTTATTCGTTGCTATTTTGATATACAAAGCGTTAGAAATTAAAATCCCGTTTTAGCGGTTTTTCGTAATTTGTCGATGGTTTTTCTCGTGGTGCTAAATAAGTGAAAATCGAAAAATGACCCCTTTAAAGTACCATCTTGATCCAATTTGGTAAAAGATAAGGTACTATATTATGTTGAAATCAAAAAACTCTCGGTAGAAATTTTGTATAAATCCTTTATTCTCGCTCCGCTCAGAATCTAAAATGATTTTGTAGTTAAAAATGTATAAAATGTTCAACTTTTATAGATAAAGATTTAAAATTTAAATTAAGGTTCCACTTAATAAAGTTATTCTGTAAGCAAAAAAATTTAAAAAAATTAAAACGGGGTTTTTTTTGTAATTATTGTATGTTAAAATTTGGACAAAATTACATATTAAATGATCAAGTAGGTACATTACATTTCTTAAGTATACCGTGTGTTCACCAATTTAGGGAACACTGAATTTCTCGGCTGGATTATGTTGGAATAAATCGAATTTTTTTTACAAGCTTGTGGTATATAAATACACATTTTCAGATAAATTTCAAATTTTTAAACCCTTCGGCACGCGCATGCGCAATGCAACTTACTTTTTTTTTAATAGCAACAGGTAGTTTTTTACCAAATTCGGATAGACTGATTTTTTTAAGTCATTTTGACCAGTTGACCATGGCTCTAAAACCAAAATTGACTGAATGAGAGCCATTCAAATTTTAATAAATAATACATTTTTACAATTCACTATAAAATGCATAAAACCATTTATAATTATTTATTATTGGTTATTTTTTGGTAAATGGTATTAAATATCTAATAATAGTGAATATTCATGTGCAATAAATGCATATTATTAATAACTTATGATTATCTAGTATTAAATTATCTGAATAACTATGTCAATTAAGATTATCTTATTATTTAAAACCTCGATAACTTCATTAATTGTTGTAATCAATTTTGATTAAATAATTTTATATCTATATTATGTTAATCTTATTTATAACACGTATAAAAAAAAATACGTAAAGATATTCAAAAAATTTAACACCATCCAATACAGTGATCCACTTGTAACCTACTGTACAGCAGATTGACACCCAATTACCCGCTTTTTATTATTTTTTTATTGTCGATATTAATCACTCGGTCAAAAAACTTAAAATTTAGTAGTAAAAGATACATATTACATATTGATAATTTTTATACGCATTTAAGGTTTCAAAGAAGGTATTAACTATTAAACCTACTACATTTATTCAAGGATTTTAATAATTTTACTTTTAACTTAAAAATATTACATCATTAAAATACTTGATAAAAATGATTTTAATTAGGTATCAATTTTTGATGACATTTTTGGAAAGCGATGTACGGCAAAATTATGATACTGCTTGCAAAAAAATAATCCTTGATTATATATTAATGGATCCAGATGAATTAAAAAGAATTGGAATAACAAATTACTATAGATCAGATTATTCTTCAATGCAAATTAGAGGCCCGATTCCATGGCATCAAACAGCAATTATTCAAAGAGAACATTTAAGGCATAATTTATATATTTTCAGTGAATCTATTTTAATGTTGAATAGCGTATGGAAAAAGTAAGCAATTTAGATGAATTTTTTATTTAAACATTATATTGTAATTTTATGTTTTTTTCAAAGGTATTCCAAAGGTTATATTTTTCCTATAAAAAATTTAAAAAAAGTTGGGATACCTATAAAACCAAGTTCTTTACAAGACCTTTTGGATAAATCATGTGAAAAATTTCGACACAAATTAGTAAAAGAGTATGACATTTCACTAATAACCTAGCTTATAAAATAATAGATAAATATAGATTTCAAAAATATTTTTAGCGTAAGACGCTTTCTTAATTAATTGTTGTGATTTAAAAATAAACAATAAGTAGTTTATAAATTCTTTGACCTCATTGAGGATTTCTTTAAAATATAGGTAATACTATAACAGACATTCTTGTAGATGGTTTCAGGATTGACCAAAACTAAATTTCTTTACATAAAAACTCTGATATATTGTATAACATAGACATTTCGACTAGATATTCATCAAATGTTTAAAATTATTTGCGTAGGTAGGTATATTTAGATTAAACTCGATACCTACCTGGCTAGCGAATGGTAAAAATATAATGCTAAAAATATGATAATTAAGAGTAATCATAAACGTATTACCTATCTACAATAATAAATTGAAAACAAATTGAATTTTTTTGTTTCTGAAAATCTGTAGGTATAATATCTGCATTATACTTACTATAAAATATAAATTGTGTGTAAATACAATATTAGAGAAAATGTACTAATAATTTGAGGGTCTTACATTAAAAAAAAATCAATCTATATCTTTACATCAGATAAATATATCCTTAATGCTTAAATGTATACAATATGTATAATTTGTAATTCATAAAGGTGGATTGTAGAATGTGCTGAGTTATTTCTGAAAACAAAAGATAATTACCAAGATTTATTACCAACGCACAGCACAAAAGCATCAAAATATCAAATTCAAAAGTTTTTTGACTGTGTAGCAGCTACTATGTCCAGGCAGTTGAGACAAATTGTTTTTAAGTCTTTGAAACATTTCATGAAGGAAATACTTAAATATAAGGTTGGGCCGGTTTGGTATTGTATTTTTAAAAACAATTTTATATACCTACTAATTAAATGTCTAGTAACCATAATAATATGTAAGTACCTAGTTAAATGTGTAAAATTGGTGTTTAAACTTTAAGTTTGTTAATTCCTATATAGGTAGGTATAAGGCTATAACAATATGTTTTAAAACTTTTTTTTTTTTAGAACGGAAATATAATAGATTCCGAATTTAAGGATAACATGTTCATAAGTCTACCGTTTTTTGTTCTTCGAGCAGTTCCTAATCCAAATTCAATTCAAATATCATTTGAACCTACACGTGAAGAATGTTTAAATCTTTTATTGTCAATCCCACGAAAAATAATTAAAACAGTAGAAGATATTCCAAGAGTCGAACAACTGTTAATAAAAAGTAATATAATATAACTATTAAATACTTATAACTCAATAAAAACTACTACGTATAAACTAAAAATATATGTATAAATTATTTGAAAAATGTACTTAGAATTTAAAGGCGATTCTACAATGGTGTTAAAAAATATTCATGAATCTGAGGAGGAAATTCAAAAAATGTTGTTTGAAGTTGGTAAGATTTTAGAAAACAATTTTCCAGGCCCAGAAACTTACATAAAATATTATAAAAAATACTACTATTTGATAAATGGCACAGAAACTGAAGCATTAAATACAATTTTTGCAAGTGACCCATTTCCATTATTAAGTGTATGTTAAAATATAATTTGAAGAATAAATAGATTATAATAGGTATTAATTATCATAATACTGACCAATATCTTTCAGGAATTTAATGAATGGGTCATTAAGTATGTAACTATAAATGAAGATATTCTTAAACTGAGAGATCGAGTGGAATTGAATTTAATGAAATTAGATGTATCTGAGGTTAATACAAATTTAAAAAATATAGTTAAGAGTTTGAAGAACAGAATTCTCGAATATTTTATGAATTTAACTCAGCAAAATATTTCTGGGTAAACAATAATATGGTCAAATACTAAATTATAATATAATATATCATATTATATTATAAGTATAAATAATAATAATATACCTACACATAATGACAACAGTAACAAATAATAATCATAGGTTAAATATTTTATTTTCAGAATAAATAGTGCATTTGAGGTAATGTCTACCAAGTCCTCAGAAATGCCTGATACAACTGAAGATTTAGTAGAACTAAGTAATTATGTAACATTGTGCAGAGATTCTACTTTATCAAAAATGAAAGCTCAACTGAGGACTGTCGGAGATTACATAATGTTTCTTTTTGAATACACTGAATTTAACAGTAATAATAGAATATTAAATTTTCTTCCATGATATTTTATTTTAAAACCACTAAACTTTATTAGTTGATGATATTCATTTGCAATCGCGAGTATTTCGATGGCCTCAAGAGATTGAACAGTTTTTAGATTTAGCTACTAGTAGAGTTATTCAAAAGAAAGGAGTAGTTGAAGGCCAGTTGAAATCTAAAAAAACAGAATTTGAATTCGAGTATGTTAAAATTGATAACAATTAGTTCACTATTGAATGTTTCGATTTTTATACATGTATAGTCTTAAAAATCATTTCAAATTGCTGGACAATTTAAAGAAAAAAGACCCACCAATATTGACTAATGATGAAATCATAGCAGCCACCGAAGAAGTTGAACGTCTTACTAATTTTCTTAAAGAAGATATTGCTGCTGCAAAGGTATATATAATTTAAATGTATATTTATCATATATTAATATATTATACACAATTAAACAATAATATAATTATAATTTAATTTAACTAAATTAAAATAAATTGTGAACTGAAACAATGTTTAATTTTGTTTATTTTATTAAACAATTTCTTAATTGTATGAACTATGTCTACTGTCTATATTATAACATTATCAACTGTTAAGTTAAACAATAAATATTTATATACCAAATAATTATTATATTATGTACCTTATAGTTATTAGGTCCTTATTAGGATTAAAATAATAATGACTTTAAATAATTTAGAGTATAAATCACACTGAAAAACTTTTGGATGTTGAAGTTACGCCATATACTCAACTACACTCAATGGTTGCGGCTAGTGAGCAATTTGACCATTTGTGGCACATTGTTCACGATTTCCAGAATTACTATGAAATATGGTTCAATGGTAAAATATACTACTTATACTGAGTATATTATGTAAAAATGTGTACTAATATATTCCTAATAGAACATAATTTAATAATTATTATAGGACCATTCCACGATCTGAATGCTAAAGAAATAAAAGAAATGGTGGATAATATGTGGGATAACCTATATAAATTAGCTAGAATTCTTCAAGACTATCCTGGATCAAAAAGAGTAGCAGAAATTGTACGTGGTAAAGTAGATAATTTTAAAAAGTATTTACCTGTGCTGGAAACGATTTGTAATCCGGGTATTCACGATAGGCATTGGACAGAGGTAATTGAATTAATACTTTATTGTTGTAAACAATATATGGATCAATAATAGCGTTATAAATATGCACATTAGATTAGCAAAAACGTTGGCGTAGACTTACATCCTAATGATTCATCAACTTTGTCTCAAATGATTGAAATTGGTTTACTGAACTATATTGAAAAACTTGAAGAAATTAGTGTTATTGCATCTAGAGAATATTCACTTGAACAAAATCTTCGAAAAATGAAAGAAGAATGGTTAACTATTGAGTTTGAGTGTACCCCATACCGAGATAGTGGGGTTAGCATATTAACGGCGTTAGATGACATTCAGGTTATGTTAGATGATCATATACTAAAAGCTCAAACAATGCATGGATCGGTTTATATAAAACCTTTTGAAGAAGAAATGGATACATGGGAAAAAAAATTAATTTTGATGCAAGAAATTTTAGATTTCTGGATTTCTGTAAGTATGCCAATTGTACATTAAATCAGCATAATTATAGTCACTTACTTTCGTATTAATTGTTCAGCTGCATAGGTATCAATGGTTATCTAAAATAAAAAGTATTATTTATAACGTTTTATTGTGATAATTATTATAATTTATTTTAAATTTTTTTATCATTTTTCTCAAAACCAATAATTTGGGTTTGACGGCACTTTTGCTTATCAAGGTATATAATATACCTATGATAAATATATAAATATATTTTACTAAGGTCAATGAAAGGCAAATTTCATCGTTTCCAGTTCTAAACCTATATTGTGAATCAAATTGACATAAATAATATTTATTTGCTTAAATTATATTTAAAAATGTGTACAATTATAGTTTATTTTTAGATCAGGCTATTAGTTTATATTGATATTTTGCACTTTGAATATTTTATTTTTAATTTATAATACCGGTTATTCAATTAGGTATATTATTACATTTTCAGTGAGTAAATTTTAATAGTTTATTCTACTTTTTTAAAAACCCAAAATGTAGAAAAGGAATACTGGGTACCTAGGTAGTGAAAGTATTTTGATAAAATATGTTAATAACATATTAAGTAAATACATTTTAGCAAAATGTATTTACAAAATTGTATTAAATGTTAAACTTTTAGATTTATATAATTCCTATTTTTTGCTTATTGAATAGGTACTTATTAAGGAATAAAGATGTTAAATATTGGTTTATTAAATCGTTTAAAAACATAGATAATATTAAAATATTGTATGTAGGTGCAAGGGATTTGGATGTATTTAGGTCCAATATTTAGTTCAGAAGATATAAATCGTCAGATGCCCGAAGAAGCTAGAAATTTTAGAGCCGTAGATGCTATTTGGCGTCAAATTATGATTAACACTGTTAAAAATCGTAAAGTTCTCGAAGCTACAGATTATCCAAATATGTTGACATTGCTAAAAAAGTGCAGTGTTATGTTTGAGCAGATACAGAAAGGCTTGAACGAGTATTTAGAGAAAAAACGTCTTTTCTTTCCGCGGTAATATTTTATTATTTTTATTTTATTATTAATGACATTGACGTGAAATTTACATTGACATTCAATGAAAATTACAGATTTTTCTTTTTGTCTAACGACGAACTTCTTGAAATTTTGTCTGAAACCAAAGACCCATTACGGGTGCAACCACATCTTAAAAAATGTTTCGAAGGCATAGATAAATTAAACTTTACAAAAAGCATAGAAATTGTGGGAATGATATCAGCTGATGGCGAAGTAGTACCCTTTAATGGAATAATTTATCCGGCTGACGCTAAGGTATTGATTAATAATTGTTTAATAGTTAAAAATACTTTTTTGGCATTTAAATCTTTATTATTAATTTTATGCCACAGGGTTTGGTGGAAAAATGGTTGATTCAGGTTGAAATTTTAATGATGCAGTCAATAAGCGAAATTATTAACAATGCAGTAAAAGAATACGCAAATATTAAACGCGACGAATGGGTACTTAAGTGGCCGGGTATGGTTGTTTTATGCGCTGCAACAATAAATTGGACTGCTGAAGTAGAAACCTCTATTGAAAAAAAATCACTTCCTGTTAGAGAAGTTTCTTAAGCTAAAAATAATCTTAAGACTTTAATAATTTAAGTTATTCATTTTTAGGCCTATCTACAGAAAATTAATACTCAAATAGAAAATTTGGTAAATTTAGTGCGCGGAGCATTAAACGTAGGTGAAAGGGCAACGGTGTGTGCTTTGATAGTAATAGATGTTCACGGTAATTATTTTAAAATAGTATTTATTATTTGTGCATATTATAGGTTTATAATATACGGATTGTAATAGGAAGACCTGACATATGAAAAACTCTAATGAATATTTTTAAATTGTTTTATATACCTATTAATTTATTTATTGACTCATGCTCTATTGCTCTACTCGTATTATATGATATGATTTTTATATTTTAATAATGAAAATAAAAAAATTTTTATTCGATGAAAATTTTTTTTGAAAATTTCAATATAGGTAGGTATTCAATTTGTAAATCTGGATTTTTTAGTAAACTATTGACGGTAAAAATTTATCTAAGTCAAGTGGTTTATTTTTCATGATTTTTAAAAATGTCAATTTTTTTTTAAAGTATCACTCATTAATTTTAAAAGTAATTACTTTTTAAAAAAATATTTAGATTTTAACAAGTATTTATTTAAAAATTATCACAAAACATTTTTAAAAAGTTTATACTTTTTGAATTTAATATGTGTTTTACTAGGTACTGGATGAACTTAACTTAAAAAAAATAATGAGATATTAGACAATTTAAAAAAAATTAAACTACAAGACTTAAATAAATATTTTCAAAATAAATTTTATCAGATTTAGATTTTTTTATTTCAGTATTAAAAAATAAAAAAATTTACAATATATATGTTACTACACGTCTGTAAATTATATGTAAAAAAAAATCAAAAATTATAGAATAGAACAAAAGTTATTTCATTGCAGGTCTTCCTGTTACAATCTTTATAGGTACTAAATAGTAAATAATTGTTCCTTTATTAATAGAAAATGTTTAATAATATGTTTAATATTTTAAGCACGTGACGTTGTTAAAAATCTTATATCTCTAAAAATAAGTAATATTCGAGATTTCAATTGGATTAGTCAACTTAGGTATTATAATAAAGATTCTAAAACTACTGTGTCGATGATAACCACTACTCTAGACTACGGTAATGAGTACTTAGGCAACACATCAAGATTAGTAATTACTCCGTTGACAGATCGATGTTACAGGTAAAATAATAACTTGACATGAAATGTTTAAATTTTTTTTAAAAATTGTTTTCAATTAAAAGAACACTTATGGGTGCATTAAAATTACACCTCAGTGGAGCTTCTGAAGGTCCAGCTGGAACTGGAAAAACCGAGACCACAAAAGATTTAGCCAAAGCAATAGCCAAACAATGTATAGTATTTAATTGTTCTGAAGGACTTGATTTTAAAGCTACGGGCAAATTTTTCATGGTTTGTATTATAAGGCATTATAAGAGACATAATAATATTATACATTTTTAAATGTGTGATCACTTTTAAATGTATCGATAGGACGTCATACCCGCATGTGTAAATGTCGTAACCAACAAATAGAACGAATAACATGGAAAGTTTAACTGTCAGAAAATCCATTTTACTCTGTTATTTTTAATATTAAAGTGAATTAGTTTATTATAAAAATTCAAAGTAGGTTTATCTTTGGCCCAATGTATGCTTTATTTTGATATTTTAATTTTAAAGCGAGTTATTATAAATATTTTAAAATTGTAAGTTTGTGAGGTATAACGAATTAATATATATTAGACTTAGATTAAAATATTATTATTGTTATTATTTAAATTAAATTAATTATTTAAAGTTAAAATATTCCCATTTCCCAGTAATATTCTAGAACCATTTTGAAATTTTTCCACATGATACAATTTTCAAAATACATATTTGCCCCTTTTTGAGCTATTTTAACTGGCATGAGAAAATTTTTTTATCAGTATTTTAAATATTGTCCATATAATTATTTTTGAAAAAAACTTTAACATTTAATGCAAGGTCCTTCTTAAGTTTTCTACGATTCTTTTGGATTCTGAGTGGAACGATGAATGTATTGATTTTACAATGATGTGTGTTTTTTTTTATTTTCTATTTTTATTTTTATTTGTGTCTGTCATCACGTTTTAGGACAGTAAAAATGCTTGGATTTTCTTCAACAGTATCTTTTCTGATAGAAAATGAATCTAGTTGGTACTTTGGGGGTTCAAAAGTAAAAATTTCCCAGTAGTTTTCACAAGCGCCGGCAAAAACAACATAAAAATGAAGGAAAAACGGGAATTTTTACGCAAAATCGTTTTTCCGAAAAATCGATTTTGGTTTTTGGTGTAACTCTAAAAACAAATGAACGATACATGACATTTTCACTGTTTGTTTATATTTGCGTTTTCTCTACACGATAACATTTTCAAAATATTTTGATTTATTTTGAACTGTTTAGGCACATTTTCATTTTCCATTTTTTTTTTTAGTTTTTTTTTCTAGAAATATCAATAAAAATGTATTTGTTGGTTGCGAAAGCTTGAAAATTTAATAGAAGGCTCCTAGTATATTGTTTCAGAGGCACATGAAAAATATTAAAAATCCATAGTCACAATTTTTTTTTATAAGCATTTAAGTTCAAAAATTGACAAAATATGGAATAATCATGAAAATCAGCAAATTATTTTGAGTTAAGAATTCGTAAAAATTTTACTTTTTAAATCTAAGATTTGAAAATGTAATATAAGATTCGTTATAAGATTATCTACATTTATCAAAAAAAAATTTTTATAAGAAAGTCAAATTAAATTTTTATGAGCGTTTGAAATTCAAATTTTTACAATATTGGATATTCACTCGATTTCTCAAGTAGCGATTTCCTTACTTTGTTGTAATTCAAAAACGAATAACTGTAGATACATGCGGAAATTTCACTGAATGTTTATATTAGCATTTCTTATAATATTTTGACTCTTTTTCAGCTGTTTACGGACATTTACAGCTTTCAATTTTCTTTAGTTTTTTTTCTATAAATATCAATAAAGTTTTATCTGTTGGGCCAAAAAGTGTAAAAATTTAATACAAGGCTCCTGATATATTGTTACAATATCAGTTGAAAAATATTAAAAATACATAAGCACAATTTTTTTTTATAAGCATTTAAAGATCGAATTTTGACAAAATTTATCAAATTTAAAATTGAATAATTATTTTGTAGTTAAAAATGTATAAAATGTTCAAATTTTATATCTAAGGATTGAAAATTTAAAATAAGATTCCGCGTATATAGTTAATTCTGTTACCAAAAAATCTAAAAAAAATACATAAGTACAGTTTATTTTTATAGTAATTTTAAGTTCAATTTTGGACAAAATTACATAAAAAAAACCTAGAATAACTATTTTAGTTATTTTGTTGTGATTGTGTAATTTTATTCGTGGGTACTTGATACTTCTAAAGTACACTATTATATATCTATGGAGTATGGACTATGATAGTATCAGGGTTTGTTGTTGACGTATAACGCATTATAGGTAAATAATGGATATTGTGATAATATGATTAATTTGGAATTTATTATAGGTACCTATTATAGGTCAATTTTTTGTTTAATACCATATATATGTTTATAATATGTCTTATAGCTAGACTGACATACCGTCTCCGCTCAAAATCGTTTTTCTTATACAATGATATTATATCATTGAATTCAAATTTAATACCATCCATTATACAGTGACCCAAAGACTTGTAACCTACGTCCTACTGTACAGCAAAGCACCTTTTTTCATTTACATTTATGTAATAATATTTTTTATTTAATTTATTTTTTTTTTAACATTTATTTGCTTTAGGTCGAAATAGTTAAATTTGTGAAAGATTTGTAGACTTGTAGTGTTTAGTCCGTTGTATGAAGAGTCATAGAACCTTACTAGACAACTAAACGAAAACAATTAACGTGTGCCTCAATTATTACCTAAACAAAAAATAATCTGTATTACAATTAAGATAAATTGACAATTCTAAAACCAAGTATTGAAGTACTTCATACTAGTTTCCATATTTCCATGATATCGATATGCAGTTTGGATGAATGAAAAAATATCATTTCAATTTCTAAGTTAGACCCATTATATTCAGGGTACTATGATATACCTATTTAAAAATGTTTTTGCCTTGCAGAGCTAGAATAATATTTCCTTAAAAACGGTTTCCATTTTATTCAGGTTTCAAATCTGGAATATTAAACTGCACAAGTGTTTTACTGTATTTTTATTATTATTGCACTCATTTGAAGTAAGTGTAAGTTTTTTGAAACTTTTCGCATCACTACTTGTAATCTTCATACTAGGGATTGGCACAATCTGGAGCATGGGCTTGTTTCGACGAATTCAATAGAATTGAACTTGAAGTATTGTCGGTAATTGCTCAGCAAGTGTATATTATACAAATGGCGGTAAAAGCTAAAAAGGACAAATTTATTTTTGAAGGCACAGAGTTAACATTAAATCCTACTTGTGCAGTTTTTATAACTATGATCCCAGGGTATGATTACTTTTTTTAAGGAATGCTAACAATTTATATCGTAGGAATCTTACTATTGAAATTATTAAAATTATACAATTACAGATATGCTGGACGGCAAGAACTACCTGATAATTTGAAAGTATTATTTCGTACAGTCGCTATGATGGTACCAGATTATGCCATGATTGGAGAGATATCATTATATTCTATGGGGTTTAGTGATGCTAGAAGGTATTTTAATATGTTATTAATGTTTACGTATAATAATAAATTGGATAACTCTATCAAATAACTATATTACAGTTTGGCTGAAAAAATTGTAGACACATATAAATTATGTTCAGAACAATTGTCATCTCAATCACATTACGATTATGGGATGAGGGCAGTAAAATCAGTATTAACATCTATAGAAAATTTAAAATTTAAATATCCTGATAACAATGAAGAGGAAATTGTGTTAAGAGCTATATACGACGTCAATATGCCAAAATTTTCATCGGAGGTTTTACACTATGAACTTACTAATTAACAAATTTAAAAATAATTTAACTTAATAATATTTCTTATTAGGATACACCACTTTTTATTGGTATATATGGAGACTTATTCCCCGGTGTCAAACTATTAATGCCAGAAAGAGAAGAACTCATAAATAAAATAAACATAAATTTAGGCAAAAGGAATTTACAATGTACTCCGTGGTTCATTGATAAAATAATACAAGTATATGAGATGGTGCTGGTTAGACACGGGCTTATGATTGTTGGTGAACCATTTTCTGGAAAAACTTGTGCCTATCAGGTATATTATTATTACATTTGTATTAATATGTATAGTAGATATTAAAATTATACCTGTGTTTGAAGTTTGTAATTTGTAAATCGTAAGTGCATTCAGGTTATAGTTGAGATGGTCCAGATGACCGTCTATACTCTATAGTGTCTACAATAGAGTCTTGAAATTAAAAAAAAAGATATATACTTAACATAATATGCATACTAATGTATTTTTTATATGTGCAACATTGAAAAGTTATTTACGATGTACAATTTAAAATTAAAAAGTAGGTAACGCTCTGCGGTACATCATGCAGTAATAGATGTCTTAAATTTTAATTCAATGATATAAAATTATTGTACCTAGTACCTACATGGCTACCTATACGAAAACTGATTCTGAGAACAGTCTTTCAGCCTATATTCTATAATAATATAATATTAATAAGTATATTTTATCACAATTATAATATCATACAATTTACTTAGTATTATTAATTAGGCATGAGTAGGTACAGTAGGTTAATTAAATTTTTTCCGAAAATTTTGAAAATTTAATTTGGAGTATAGGTAATTTATGTATATCTAGATAATATAATAGATATTTATCAATATAATCAACTAGATGAGATAATAGATTAATTTAAATAAAACTATCTAGATAATGCTTAGTGCTTAGATAATATAATATAAAAAATTTATATATTTAAAAAAAAAAAAATTTTAAATTTACATCGATATTTTATTTATTTTATGTTACATAGGCAGATTGGTACTATGATAGGTACATTTATAATATAATGTATAATATGTGATTTTTAAAATTAAATATTTTTTTTGATTATCTTATTGTCCGCGTACAGATGCTCGTTAATGCTATACATGTCATACACTATTCTGTTGTATAGGTTGTTTTCAATACGCGTTATATTTTTGCAGGTGTGAATATGAAACATTTAATTTCTATTTATTATCTATTCAAAATGTAGTATATTATGATTAAATATTATGTGTAATACAATTATTATTTGACCACTCTAGAGTCGTCCATGTATTGGTATAGTTACTATAATTATAGTAGACTTGAACTTTTTTGTAACTTTTTATACTCTTTATTAGCTGTTTATCGGTTATACTCAATTGATTTTTTATTATTTTGTTATATTATGACTGTTTATAACATTTGCAAATTTTGTATTTTTATAAGACTTAACATGAATAATTATTTTTATTCCAAAGGTCTTGGCAGAATCATTGAGTGATTTACAACTCGATCGCAAAGCAATAATGAAAGAATTTAAAACCACGTGTAAAATTATCAATCCTAAAGCAATTACAATTGGTCAATTGTATGGATCATTTGATACAGTTTCACATGAATGGCATGATGGTAAATACTTTTAAGCTATATATTACATTAAAAAAAAAAAATGCTATTTAAATATTTTTTTTATTTTAGGAGTTCTAGCAATTGTGTTTCGAGAATTTGCTAATAGTGTATCAATGGATCGCAAATGGATTGTATTTGATGGACCTGTTGATGCAGTATGGGTAGAAAATATGAATACAGTGTTGGACGATAACAAAAAACTTTGCTTGATGTCTGGGGAAATTATACAGGTTTATATAATTTGTAAACTACTTTCAACTTTGTTTCTATTGTATATTTTATAATTTATGATAAAGGCATCATCCATTTACATTATATTTTTAAAAAATTTTTCGTACAGATGAGTAATAAAATGAACATGGTATTTGAACCTGCCAGTTTAGAACAAGCTTCGCCTGCCACCGTATCTCGTTGTGGAATGATTTATGTAGAACCAAAGCAGCTTGGTTGGAGATCTTTTTGGCTTTCGTATAGACAAAATCTTTGTACTAAAATTTTGCCAGATCAAAAAATTATGATGGATGATCTAATCGAGTGGTTGGTACCCGCCATATTTGTTTTTATACAAAAACACTGCAGTTTATTTTTAGCTACTTCTGAAAATCATATGTTTAACGTGAGTAGTGAATTTTTAATTAATTAGGTAATTTAAATTTAAAAAATGTATGATGCATTTTACAGTCGTTTACAAGGTTAATGGATTGTTTGATAAAAGAAGAAACTGGAATTGGATTCACAGCCATATGGGTGGGATGTACAACAATTTTTAGTTTGATCTGGAGTCTTGGTTCCTTAATAAAGGGCGATAGCCGAAATAAATTTGATACATTTTTTCGAAAACTTCTTCTTGGAAATAATGACCAATATCATAAACCAAATACTTTTAAGTTGACAAAAATCCACCTTTTTCCAGATATGGGTACAGTTTATGACTATGTTTATGATAAGAAAAATAATGGTTCTTGGGTCCTATGGGCTGAAAAAATAGATTTTAAAAGGATTTCACCAGATGCCAGAGTAAATATATTATTTAATATTTATAATTTAGTTATATATTTTATAATTTTTTCTATTTTAATTAGAACTTGAATACGATAGTTGTATAAGTGACATTGACTTTATTCGTTTTATAGATAAATGATTTAATCATTCAAACTGATGAAACAGCTAAGCAGCATTACTTTTTACAAATATTATTAAAAAATGAAATACCTTTACTTTTCGTCGGACCCACTGGCACTGGGAAATCAGTTATTGTGCTGGACTACTTAATTAATTTGCCGAAAGAAAAATTTTTAGCTAACGTATTAAACTTCTCCGCGTGGACTGCAGCTAACACTGTACAAGATATTATAATTTCTAAATTGGACAAGTATATCAACTGTTGTAACTTTTATAATAAAAATATAATAACTTATAAAATATTAATTGTATAGGCGAAGAAGAGGAGTTTTTGGACCGTCTGTAGGTAAAAAATGTATGTTGTTTGTAGATGATTTAAGCATGCCGTTACCTGAAAAATATGGTGCTCAACCACCAATAGAATTATTAAGACAATGGATTGATCATGGTCATTGGTATGATCTTCAGACTATGTCAAGAATAGATATGCTCGATATGGTTAGGTTTATTTTAATTTATTATTATATGTTATAAGTTATAACCTTTTTTAATACAACTAATATTTATTTAATAATGATTTCTTCAATCTTCAGTTATTTATTGGCGTACTTCAACCTCCTGGTGGTTTTTCAAATCAAGTTACTACTCGTTTCACTAGACATATGAATGCTATTGGCATTGATTCATTCAAACAAGAAACGATGTCTAAAATATTCACTCAAATTATGAAATGGCATTTAAACAAAGGATTTCCTGAGCCTATCGCATTACAAGGAAATGTATAAGCTCATCTTTTTGTAAAACAAAAATATATATTTTAACTAAAATTAATTTAGAGTGTTATAGAAGCAATACTGTTTGTGTACAAAGAAGCAGTCTCAACATTTTTACCGACTCCTGCTAAATCTCACTATACTTTCAATTTACGAGATTTTACCAGAGTTATAAAAGGAATATTATTATTACCAGCATCGCAGTGTAAAACCCTTGAAAAAATGTTCCGACTGTGGGTTCATGAGACATGGCGTGTGTTTGGTGATAGATTAGTCCACGATGATGACCGTAATAAACTATTTGAAATAATGAAAACAGCATCTTATAGTTGTTTGAGACAACCGATGGACGTTTATCTAAGTGATTTAATGCCAGTCGAGGAGAGCTTTTTAAATACTGATCATTTACGAAACCTATTTTATGGAAACTACATGGATCCGGATATTAATAAGAAAATTTATGATGAAGTTCATAGTGAAAAACAACTAATACAACGAATGGATTATTATTTGAATGAATACAATACTATGTCTAAAAATCCATTATCGATGGTTATGTTTAAGTTTGCTATTGAACATGTGTCTCGTGTAAGTAGAGTCTTACAACAAGACAACGGTCATTTGTTATTAGTTGGAATTGGTGGTAGTGGAAGACAATCGGCTACAAAGTTGGCCACATTTATTGCCGGTTATAAAATATTTCAAGTATTATTATATTATATTATATACAAATATCCATTTAAATAAAATAATAGAATGTAAATATTTTTATCAGATTGAAATAGGAAAGAATTATGGTAAAAATGAATGGAATGAAGATATGAAAAAAATATTAAGATATGCTGGATGCGATGGAAATCCAATAACATTTTTTTTATCTGACAATCAAATTGCAGATGCCAGTTTTGTAGAAGATATAAATATGTTACTTAATACTGGAGACATACCAAATCTTTATCAATCTGATGATAGAGTTGATATTTTAGATAAAGTATCCAATATTGCTCAAACCCTTGTAAGTTATTGTTGTTTATTTCTTCGAAAATAAAATGGACCCCACTGAACAGGTTTTACCTAAGAACATATAAGTGTGTATCAATAACATATATTTTTTTAAATAATAAGATGAGTATGATACATTTTTGCATCATTAAAAATGATTTTCAATATATATAAATATATAATATACAATTTCATTGAGTAAGATTTATTAATATTTAGTTTGAAATTATCTTTCTATTATTTGGTATCTTTTCTTTAAACCTCAAGTTTATCTATTAATGTTTGAAGCTTGACAAATACCCGGGAAAGTTCAGCTCTTTTCTCTTAACGTTTTTCATTTGCACCTAGGTACAGTACAATCCGTTTCTATTTGGTTAGTTTATTTTAGGTCTGACAATTTTCATTATCTACTCATAGATATCCAAAGTTCTAATCTGTTTATAACGACCTAACTTGAAATTAGAATTTTATTATTAACTAGTAACTTGTACCTAATTTATAACTCATTAATTTAAAATAAATTCAATTTTTTATTACAGGGATTAAACGTTGAAACAACACCACTTGCTTTATACAATTTCTTTATAGAAAGAGTCAAAGAAAACCTTCATCTTATTTTAGCTATGTCACCAATTGGTGATGTGTTTAGAAACCACTTGAGAATGTTTCCTTCACTCATAAACTGTTGTACAATCGACTGGTATAGTAAAATTTAATGGACATTGACAGTGGAATAAAATTCAGTAAATGCAAGCTTATTATTATGATGGTTTATTATAGGTTTACAGTTTGGCCTGAAGACGCTCTTGAGAAAGTTGCAGAATATTATTTAAAAGACATGTCTATTCACAGTGATATTGCATCATCTTGTGTAATAATTTGTAAAGAATTTCATACTACAGCTAGAGATGCTTCTTCCAGGTAAATTGTCTCATTTAAACGTTTTATTAATAGGTATATAAAACATACAACATAGGTAAGCCAATAATTTTTAAAAATAACATGTACTTAAAGTCCTTGCAAATAGGTATTAAAATTTGATTATTTTTAAGTTATGTTTATTTGATTTATCAACTTGTGACTTATTTATTATTTATGGTCGAAAATATAATGACTTTCTAATTTCTAGTCATAAACCCCAACATTAAATGTCGGAAATAATAATTGAATTATTTTCATATTTAAATTTCTGAATAACAATTGTCTTATAATATTACATTTTAGATTTTATTCAGCGTTAAAAAGGCATAACTATGTTACACCAACTTCCTATTTAGAGTTGATAAAAACATTTAAAAATTTGCATAAAAAGAAGGTAGATCAAATCACAACTTTGCGAAACAGATATGAAACCGGTTTAAAAAAGTTAGACTTTGCTGCGGGCCAAGTATCTGTTATGCAAGATCAACTAACAGCTTTAAGACCAAAACTTGTAGAAACTTCGTTGGCTACTGAAGCTCTTATGGTTAAAATTGAACAAGATACTGTAAAAGTCGAAGCCAAAAAAGAAGTACTTCATAAAATTCAATATTTTTTTTTATAAATAATATTCTATAATTATTAATTGTAATACATCTTAGATAGTGGGCGCCGATGAAGCCCTTGCTAATGATGCTGCAGCAGCATCGCAGGCTATCAAAGACGATTGTGAAAGTGATTTAGCAGAAGCCATACCAGCCCTCGAAGCAGCAGTTTCAGCTCTAAATACTCTTAAGCCCGCCGATATTACCGTAGTTAAATCTATGAAAAATCCACCATATGGTGTAAAGTTAGTACTAGAAGCAGTTTGTGTTATGAAAGGAATCAAATCTGAACGTAAGCCAGATCCAAGTGGATCTGGGCGGATGATTGAAGATTTTTGGGGACCATCACAGAAACTAATTTCAGATACTAAATTTTTAGAAAGTTTAAAAACTTATGACAAAGATAATATAGATCCTGCAGTTATGAAACATATAAGAGAAAAGTAATTTTTATACATTTATCTTGTTTACAAAAATAATCACATGACTCATTTTCAGATATATTAATGATCCAGACTTCAATCCAATCAGTATCAAATCAGTTTCTAATGCGTGTGAAGGCCTTTGTAAATGGATACGAGCGTTGGATGTTTATGATAAAGTAATAAAAATTGTCGGACCTAAAAAAGAAAAACTTCAGCAAGCAGAAACGGACTATGCTGTACAAATGGAAAAACTTAACGAAAAAAGAGCTGAGCTTTCCGGGGTCTTAAGCAAGCTTCAAACATTGAGAGATGAACTTGCGGAAAAAACGAAGGAGAAAAAAGAATTGGAAGATAATATTGACTTGTGCTCTCAAAAGCTGACCAGAGCTGAACAATTAATTAGTGGTCTTAGCGGAGAAAAATATAAATGGAGCCAAACGGCTCTAGAATTGCAATCAACATTAGATAATGCAATTGGCGATGTATTATTATCTGCAGGCGTTGTTGCTTACCTTGGGGCATTTACTGTTGACTTTAGAAATGTTAGTGTAATAGTAAATATGTGCTCCGAATATATTAGACACTACATCATGTATGTGTGTGAGGTCAGCCCTCCTCTCAACTTTGTCCAAAATACACCAAACAAATTGTAAATTGAAGTGCTTTATTTGTAAGTAATTGTAAGTTATTTGAGTTGGTCGTCTGGTATGCCTGGTACTCTTAGTAGTTTGGGCAAGGGGGTTCATGTGAAATAAGCCAGTCCAGTTAATTTTGGCCATAACTTCAAATTGTTGAGCTTACAAATTCTAAAAAGTAACCTCTACAACTTAAAATTTGTCCATTATAATGTCAATAAAGTGGTGAGGGGAGTTCGTGTGAAGTTGTCCCCTCCTTTAACTTTTAAGTTTATTTCGGTCTCAACTTAGGTTTGAGGAACTTACAAATTCCGAAAATCAACTTACTATAGCTTATAAATTTAACTCTAAAATTTACAATCCACCTAGTGTAATTTGGATTAAGTTGGATGGGGTAACCCGCGTAAGTTCATATTTCATTCTTTAAAATATTTATGTAGAAAAACAAAATGTATTGTTCAGGTACTTATTGATGAATGGAACCAAAAGTGTTTGGAAATGAGTATTCCATGTTCAAAACAGTTTTCACTAATACATACGTTAGGAGAACCATTATTAATTCGTGAATGGAATATATTTGGACTTCCAACTGATAATTTTTCTGTTGAAAATGGGATCATCGTATTTAGTAGTACAAGATGGCCTCTAATGATTGACCCCCAAGGTCAAGCGAATAAATGGATAAAAACTATGGAAAATTCAAACAATATTTCTGTAGTTAAACTGTCAAATTCAAATTATATGACTTCCATACGATCAGCAATTGAACATGGTTTACCAGTTCTTTTAGAAAATATACTAGAAGACATTGATGCTACACTTGGTATGATAATATTATATCATATAATAATTGAAAAATTAAAAAAAAATTAAAAAAATTGTATGACTTTTTATAGACCAAGTACTACTAAGAAATATCTATAAGGAAGGTGAAATTGAATACTTGAGATTTGGCGATGATTTGTTGGAATATAATCACTCGTTTAGACTTTACATCACAACACGACTTCGAAATCCTCATTATTTACCAGATATTTCTGTTAAAGTAGGTGCTTCTTCTAACTAAATAAATCAACAATTAATGTCAGAAACTTAAAAGTCTAAAATCCACATTTTAATATTTTACTTTAATTTTTATAATGTTGGTCACTTTAACAATGGCTAGTACGATTATAAACAAGCGGGCAAGTAGGAGTGTACCTCGTCATTAAGTAAGTAGGTATTGTACCTACTGAATGTAATGATTCTGAGCTGAGATAGTCTATCAGTCGTATTAATAGTTATTACTAACTACAGAGTATATTATATTAAAAATTTATATTAGGTACCAATATTATTATTATTATTATTATTTTTTTAATGTCCTGGGTCTTTATTATTTAAACGACCAAAAGGTCGTTAAACAATTATATATATTTTACATACTAGATAGGTATAAATTATATATACTTAACACGTTGATGGAGTCACTTACAATGAAGTTGCTCCTGCCTTAATCTAAAATCTTAAAGTAAGTCATAGGGTTTTAGACGCTTAAGACTCTGATGTCTTTGGAGTTGTCTAATAATAGGATGTCCAATGGATTGATAATTGGTGATTTAGCCTAGTCTCGTGTTTGCGAACAAACCTTTGGATTTAGTCTGCTATTGAAGGTAGCATCGTATCATTGTTTCTTCAAACCACGGTAGGTTAGGCAGTGAAGGTCGAAAGGCTTATCCATCTGTACTTCTATTTAGCCCCCTATGAGGTTTTACTTTTTAGTCCCTCCTTAGGCTCGTAGTTAGAACCCAAATCGTTACGAAAAAAAATGTGTAAAATAATAAATTATTATATTATAAAATTTAAAATAATATAATTGACATTGTGTACAGTGTAGGTATGTGTACAATGTACGAATTTATCGTAATTGGTCATAGTTTTCGCAGAAGAAATGTGTTTATGTGCTTAAGGTGTTTTGCATATTAGCTTCAAGCTTACCTATATAACGCCCCTATTATATATAATAATAATATATTATTTTATTAAATTTAAATAGGTGCCCGTGTCCCGTATTGGTATACCTATTCTTATAATATTATAGTTACTTATATTAGTTGTATCGCACATTCGTACAACAGTGGTTGAATACTATTATATAATCATTTTATTTTCCAATTATCAGTTCTCAATTTACTGTGCGTCTGTGGCACTCTCTGTGCAGACTGCAAAGTAGGTAGGTAGTATTTACTAGGTACTATTACACTGTCACAGCCGTTATTTTTATTTTTGAGTACGTATACGATATACGTAAATACGTTAGATTTTATTGTATACAATTATCAAAATGTTCAGTACATTTAAATTAAAAAAATCAAGTAGTGCTAAGAACGAAGATGACCCAAAAAAATTATGGTTTATATTAAATTTTAGTTTTAGAGGACTTTTTGTAACAACTAAATGTCAGTGAATCTTGTAAGGCGTGTTATTTTACACTTTGGTTTTGTAGGACTCTAGCCCCCCTAACTATTCAATCCTATTTACTCCCATGCGTTAGAGTAAGTACAGGATAGGCAATATAAAACTCCACCTTGCGGTACTCCAGTTGATACGTCTTCATTCGGTATCGCTTCTTCGTAAGACTTGAAATTGACAGTCGGTGAAGTATGATTCAAGAAGTGCACACCAGGTATTTTTCAGCTGATGATCAGGTAGTTTGATGAGGAATCCTTTGTTCCAGACTTTGTTAAAAGCAAGGAATACTCCAAAGCAGTACTTTTTCCTTAAGGGGTCGTTACAGTTACATTTATTTTCTCCGTCTTATCTCCAGTTAGTTTAAAAATTAGAGCGAATTGCCCTCTTATAAAATTTAAAGGTAAGATTATTATCTAGACAATGACATAGGCTTTTTATTATATTTTAATTTTAAAGCGAGTTATGCGTATTTTAAGATGTACAAAAAGTTTACAATTTTAAAATACACATAACTCGCTTTAAAATTAAATTACCTTTAAATTTTATAAGAGGTCAATTCGCTGTAATTTTTAAACTAACGGAAGATAAACGTGTTTTTCTGAGCGTAAAATTTGCTATGTTACCTCACTTGTTAGACGGAGACAATAAATGTCACTGTAACGTCCCCTTAAAGAGCTTTACTAATCAGTAATCACATTAGTAACTCGATGTACTTGATCGATTTTTGAATGTTTGCAGCGAAATCCAAACTGGTGTTCTGGTAAAAGATTTTTTCCTCTATAATCGGGTTTAGGTGTTTAAGCAGAAGTTTCTCTAAAAGCTTCGACAAACTTGGAAGGAGTGATATCGGTCGGTATGATTTGACATTGTCAGGTGGTTTCCTGGTTTGAGGAACATGATCACTTGTGCCAGTTTCCATTGTTCTGGCAGGTATTCCATGCAAAATATAACGTTGTATATGTGTGTGCCTTCTTTGGAAGTTCTTTCAGTTTTTTCACAATTATTAGAAAAAGTATTTTGGCATTTTATCTTTTGACCCTCCCTACCCCCCATTCTCACAACTTTCTTACCAGAATATATAATATTCAAGTAAAAAATCCAAGCAATAACTAATAAGTATGTTTACTGGTCTAAAAGGTGACTGACGACACATACAATTACACAAAAAAATTAAAAAATTAAATTATGTATCATAGTAAAATCAATTCATTTATTCCTCCGCTCAAAATCTAAAATAAATTTACATTATGCATTTTTCTACATTTTGAAATAAATAAAATTCATCTCACTAGACGATCTAGATTCTAGATTATACAAATATTATAATTTGTATTTATTTTAGTTTTCTTAATTTAATAAACTAATCGAACTATATATATTATTAAAATGTAAATAAATAAACTTACCTATGTTATTTAGGTAACATTACTAAACTTTATGATTACGCAACAAGGACTGCAAGATCAATTGCTAGGGATTGTTGTTGCTAAAGAACGACCTCAGTTGGAGGAAAGAAAAAATGAATTGATACTTGAAAGTGCTAATAATAATAAACTACTTAAAGAAATTGAAGACAAAATATTATACGTTCTCTCTTCGTCTGAAGGAAATATTTTGGAGGATGAATCAGCAATAAAAGTTTTGTCTTCATCAAAAGTATTTTAAATTATTTTATTTGTAAGACCTAAGTAGTCTAAATTATGTTAACATAACTAATTTCACAGTCATTATCTGCTGAGATTCAACTGAAACAAGAAATTGCTATTGTAACTGAAAAAGAAATTGATGTAGGTCGTGATGTTTATATACCTGTATCTAGTCACTCTTCAGTTTTATTTTTCTGTATAACTGATCTAAATAACATCGATCCAATGTACCAGTATTCATTATCTTGGTTTATAAACTTATATTACCAGGTAAGTAACAATTATTTATTGGAGATAGGTACATGTACACTATAAGAAATTATAATTGATAATTTATTGTTGCTATATATTTTGTGTGACAGTCAATTGCACAAAGTGAAAAATCCAACGACATCAATGAAAGAATAAATATTTTGAATGATTATTTCACTTATAACATTTACCGAAACGTTTGTAGATCTTTATTTGAAAAAGATAAACTGATTTTTTCATTTATTTTAACAGTTGGAATTTTTCGGTCTAAGGTAATAATATGTTTAATATTATGATTAAATGTACCTACCTATAAGAATACGTCAATATGTATATTTATTCTTGGTAATTTTATGTCACAGGGCTCACTTGACGATGAATTATTTACATTATTCCTTACCGAAGAAGTTGGGATAACTAATGAACACCCCAATCCGGCATCTAATTGGCTAAGTGATAAATCATGGGCCGAAATTGTTCGAGCATCTCAATTTCAAAGGTAAAAAGTGATAAATATATAGGTAATTATTTTATAACAAAATAGTTACTAATTATTAATAGTTCTTAATTAAAGCTAGATCTGGTTAGGCTAGAAGTTATTGCAATAAAAACTAATAAAATTAATTTTGTTATTGTACCTACTAAAGCATCGGCAATTATGGTGGCCATTAACATTTTGTAGGGAGGTTACCGATGTATAAAATACTAGACTGTAGTACCATAACTAGTTATAAATTGAACCAGAAAAAAGTACAACAGTTTTAAACTTTGCGAAGTTAGTATACACCTACCCTCAATGTCTTAAAAATATAAAAAAGCTTCCGAATTGAAAAATATGTTTAACGTGATCAGACCACTTAAACTTTTCATCAACTACAATTCCTAAGTACCTACCTATTTAATTACTACTAAAATATGAATGCCTATGTAAAGACATTTTGTCATTCAGTGAAAATTTAAAAATATGAATTACTAATTTTGAAGTCAGGCAAATTGTATAGCATCTGATATACGGAAATGAGTATGATTAGATTTGTTACGATTAAGTTCCAACATATAATTATTGTATAGGTAGTCATAACCTATTTGAACAAAGTGTCACAGAATTATAGATTTCAGTTGAATTAGTCACTACTCACTTGAATTGAAATTACTTTTCATCAGCTCATCAGCATATAGTATGAGTTTGCCGTTTATTTTTAAATTAAAAAGATCATTAATATAAATTATGAATATAATAGGTTCAAGAACAGTACCTTGTCGTACCTCTTGCGTTAATAAACTATCACTTAAAGTATTGTTAATCCTTACTAACTGTGACCTATTATTAAGATAAGATAAGTAAATATGTCTGGAACTTTTTCTCTTAAACCATAAAAATTATATAAGATAATTAATGCGTCAGTTGTAGACTTTCCAGATCTAAAACCCAATTGGTTATCCGAAAAAAAATAATGAAGTATAATATAACCTTGTCTTTAAACAATTTCAAAAATGTTTGATATAGAAAGAGTCAATGATATAGGTCTATTACATTGATTTTTATCTAAAATTTTTGAAGAAATCAATACATTTATCAACACATTAATCAAACATTTAATGTTGTATAATAAAGCGAGAAGTTTGAAATATTTTAATACGCAGTTGTCATTTTTAACACATTATTAGATAAATTATGATCATAAAAAGTTGTTGAATCATTTAGATTATTTATATA